GATATGATTTGAATGGAGAAAAATGATACGTCTGACCTCATTTCGGATCAATCGCATTGCGTTAAAACATTGCCAAATCTATATTTGATATCATAATTCGACCTGTAAGTACTTATTATAAAAATACTCATACCTAATAATTAGTATTTAAATAACTTTCGTAGTTGACACCAAAACCTATAATCCCAAGTGATAACGTCTCTCAAATCACATCAAACCTGTAACCAGATTAAGTTTTAAAATAATAGTAAACATTTTTTTTCCACTTTGATAGCAACCAAAGTTTTGTTAGCGACTAGTGAAGTGCCGACTCCTGTTGCCAAAATATTTGAAATAGGCACCTACCCAAAGTTCATAGTGCAACAGAAAAAAAGACAGACAGAACCAATGCCCGATAAGGATCTCAATGAATAGCCGTCAAGCTTTAATTAATTATGATTGTATATTTCTATAGATAATGTCAATGTTTTCTTTAGAATCCTGACATTATACATGCCTCAATAGGTACGAGTATTTGCGCAAGCACCGCCCGGTAGGATGTAGAACTATATGGAGCATTGAAAACACACGTCTAATAAAGTTGTAATAATAAACTCGTAAAAAAATCTATATTATCCGTATCCATACTAATATTATAAATGGGAAGGTAACTCTGTCTGTCTTTCTGTCTATCTGTTTTGCTTTCACACCTAAACTACTGACACATTTTGATGAAATTTGGCGTAGAGATAGTCTGAGTCCCGGGAAAGGACATAGGATAGTTTTTATCCCGGTTTTTGAAACAGGGACGCGCGCGATAAAGTTTTTCTGTGTCAGACTAAATTCCACGCGGGCGATGCCGCGGGCGGAAAGCTAGTAAAAAATATTTAAATAGGATTTACGGTTCCAGTTGAAAAGAGTTTTCTTTTACATTGTTACAAAACAAAAAAAATAGTCAATTAAAAAAATAACATTAATAATTTTTTTTGGTATTAATAAACGAATTAGACGCAATTAAAATAATAAGGCAGAATTTTGATTGCAGTTAAAAAGGATAAACTATGTTTTCCTGTATATTACGACACCAATATGAAAGACATGCGACGGTAAAAAATCCTACCTAGAAATCAATATCGTTACACGAAAAACTTATAAAATTTTTAAAAATAAAAGGTAGTTATTGCTCGCGCTTCAGTTACGGCATTACGGTAAGAAAAATGCTTTGTTCGAGGAGGCACGATATCACATTACGACTACGATTTAGTTGCAAAATTTTAACTATTTCAACTAAATATCATGTTAACAGTCATGATGTAGGATTAAGTCGCATTTTCAGGACAACGCATGGAAAGACTATGTTTTTAAAACTTGAGGAAAATCTACAATCAAAAACATGTGGTCGATCGAAATATTGAAATCTAACCAATAACCAACCAAAAACCAACTAGCTAACAGGTCTGAATCAAGTCCTACCTATAAATGGTCGAATTTGAATCAAGTTTTAAGTGTGTAAGTATACCTGCTTATAACAGTCCATAAATAAATATGTAGATTGTAGGTAGAAAGTATAATGCTTCTTCATAGCAACGGCCCATTAGTTGTCCCGAAGCAGTGGTAGGGTTATAGTAATACTGGGACGTGTAAAAGAGCTTTTTATAAACTTACATGCAAAAGAAATTTGACTATCAGTTTTCATAGTTTAGCGTCCCCGTCCAAATTAACGAGCCGTATGTTCCACGTAGAAGACTATCGGAATCTATTATCGAAATATTTATTGTTGCTAGATAAAATCTGTATCAAGGTCGCACGAGCGCCTCTCATCCGCCTCGGTTATAAATATTCATACAAACATATTGAGCAACGCTAAGTATGAAATGATCGTCTTGTGTAGTTACGACATTATTATTTTGTCATTTATAGATTATTTACCTATTAAATTTTTATTTCACTGACAGGAGCGTGTAATCAACTCGCAAACGGTTTGGTATGAATGAGAAAAGGTTTTTTATTTCTTGCAACTAATTTATTTATTTTTATTTAATCTTTAATGCCATATACATTGGTATATAAGACGAACTTAATGTCATAAAATAAGTACTTACTTAGTTTTCTAAAAGTTTAAGTCATTTTTTACACTCGACTGTATGTTACTGTATGTTTGTACTGTATGTCGTGGATTAGTAATTTATCGCGTATAGGTCAATAGATTGTAATGTAAATATTTTCACTATTCGTTTGAAAACAATAAATTATGAAAGGTAATAATTGTACCACCCACATCCTGTCATAAAGTATGAAATAATTTTTAAACCAGCTCCGAGTAACGTCTTACGTCCATAGCGAACAGCACGATTTTCTCATGTAGTAATGTACACGAAGTAAAGACGCCAGCACATTAGACTATACATTTTTGTTGTAAAAGCACCCTTATCATAAGTATATTAGAGGCCACAGTGTTAAGCTTGTTGTGCCATCGTCTGTACCATTATAATGAACTCTTTCAAGCGCATGATTCCGATTCTTCCTCATACATACAACTGTTGTTACGCAAAATGAAGAAACGTATTCTCTCAATCTGAAAAAACTAAATTAGATGCCTTCAGAATGTATTAATTTAGTAAAAATAGTTTATAATATGATAATGTTGTCTAATGAATAAAACAACTACATTATGTTGTATTGAAAGAGTAGGTAACTGTCTCTCTTACATTAAGTTCTCAGTAACATATTGAACCATATTTACAAAATTTTGGAAAGAGATTACGTAGTAGATGGGTCCACCTAGGATAGAAACTAATATGTGTATCATATTCATAGTTACTTAGTCCCCACCTAAGGTCCCTCGATAAGTCAAAAAGGGATTAAATAGGGAAAATATTGTTTAAGAGAGCATCATTTTCAAGTGAAAAACTGTATGTTTGAAATTTTGAAATACACAAAACCGCGAGCAGAAAATAACCTAATAGGTGTGTTTCATCATCATCATTTCAGCCACAGGACGCCCACAGCTGAACATAGGCCTCCCCCAATGATTTCCACAACGGCCGGTTGGTGGTGGCCCGAGTGTAATTCATTCAAAACAATTTTCAAAATAAAATAGAAAAATAATTGTTATAATTTTGATTTTTCAATAAATCTGTCGATGAACCATGTAATGATTTTGCACTAATAACTTACTTTACAGCTGTCATTGCAGCATAAATTCAGGCAGGTATTTTACGCGCCTGATGTTAAGCGAGATGCAGTCTAAGATGGTACATAATATCTGCCCTGTAAGCTCACTCTCGCCTTGAAAAGGCCCGGATTATAGCGTTCGGGAAAGACGTTACAGCAGCAGGCAGCGAGTTCCAGTTTCTATCTGTTCGCATTTACCCGCATATCGTTTGAAGATTGTGTAATATAATGAACAAGGTCATAATCCCAGATTCACTTTCGTGTCTGTTGAATTGGAAACGCTTGTAAATGTATGTTTGTTTTTATGATATATTTAGATCGTATAGTAAGAGCGAAGGTCAATATTGTTGATTTATAGTTTATAGGGCTATGAGAGCTTTCAGATCGTACGTTATTTTTATTGGAAGCTTTTACGTGTATGTTTATAAAGATAGTTACACTGAATTTATTTGTAGCTCAATTATTTCCTTTTTATTTATTGTTTACTTTGTAATGAATTGTTTTATAATTATCAATTAAATTAAGTGCCAGAGAACACGCAAATTTTCATGTTTTGTAGTTAGGAATTATATTGATTAATTAGGTTGTAATGAGTATTTTTCAGCTAAGGTGTTCTATTGTAATAAACACAATTTGAATTTGAATTATTCCTTATCAGGGCTCATTATTTGTTTTTATTGTATTTAAAAAAATAAAGAAAATTACTTAAATTAAATTTATACGTAGCGTTTGGTGCAAGTGTATCTACTTAGCGGTTGTTACACTACAGACCTATTATGATTTGAATTTAAAATTTAATTAGACATTTGTTATGTAAACGCATGTAACTATTTGTCCATCATTACGGACCAACTCAACAGGGAAGGTGACTGTGGCACTAAATAAAGTTCTAATTCGCGCTCGACTTGGAGGGGGCACTGCCGTGCCCCCAGATATAGTAGAGTATTAATCCAAAACCTTATAGACTATATCAATTACAAGATATTGACATCAATGAGTCCACAGCAAAAAGTTTACAAAGAAAGATATTATCGCACCGCAATCAAGTGTTTCGCTGAATATGCATGGATCTTCAATTTTTATTTCCCAGAAATCTATTATTTACGTCTCTTCGGAGCATAATAATGACTAATCATGTCTGCCATTAACAGAAAGTGTTAATGCGATAATACATTGCTCGTTGTATACTAGAGTTGTAATAGGAGATGGTAGGGAGAGGGTAATGTATGGGGTGCCATTGTAGAGCATCAGAATGCGTGGATTTGCCTCGTTTTTTGCGAGGGTTGCATTATACAATCGATAGAACTGATTTTAAATTAAGCTGAAATATATTTAATGTTATGACACAGGATCCCTACTATTTGTTATGTATATTAGTGGTTGGTATGCTAGAATCATTGCAGTTTTAACTCTGACTCTGAATAAAAAAAATTCAAACAAAGTAAACACAATTCATTAGTAGCTCTCTCTTCATGATTATTATTTTGTTACCTCCTTTCTTTTAAAATATTGGTATAATGAGTTCAGATTTTGAGTCACTTCAAGCAATATTGAGTTTGGACTTTACAGAAAAGTTTGTTAAAAGCATGTTGCAGTAATTCGTCATACTTAGTGCAAATATTATCGTTTGTTTTGTATGGTGTTTAACTTCAAGTATAGCACTAAGTTGACCAACTTTGGCCTCACCTTATCAGAAACACAGGTGATACCTAAGTGTTTGCCAAAAGGTATGACTCAAAGTTGACCGGCTTGGCCTTATCACAGGTGATATTTGCCCAAAGGTTAAGCCCACAGCGAATCTCTACTGAGTCCGCAATCCTCCCCAAGCGGCCATTCGGGGTAACGAACGCCCGATCGCTCTCAGTCGCCGCTCCGATAGGACCGCGGCCGCTCGTCTCGCGAAGGCACACGCAACTGCCACACCACTCGCCAATCGCTTCCGATATCGAGAAAGTGAGTGATCGTGTTTGAAAATCGAATAGGATTTTGTTTCGAACGCCGTGTCGACTCCCCTTCGGTGAGTTTTTTTTTGTAACCGGCCAGTTTGAAACCACTTAAAAAATCGATGTGTTCTTTTTACAAATTGCAAACCAAAATTAAAAAGAAACAAACTAAATTAACAGCAATAAAAACAATAATTACACTTCCTTATTCGAACCACTTCGCCAAATATTTATACATTTTTATTACTGAAACAATCTTGCAGTTAAAGAAATACAATTTATATTTTGCTCCAATAATTATGAACTCAACCAATTGAATAAAAAAAAATTTTAAGATATTTTTCAGCATTAAAAAATAATTAAAAATGTATCTTTCTCACAGTGACAATTCCCGAACTCTACATATTGCAATTATGAGATCACGAGATAGCGTGCGGGTTTAATGATATCGACTAAGATTCGATTTCTTTCGACTCGATTAGGCGATCGCTTTTTAGGTGGCTTTGACATTAGAATTTATAATCATGCCGCATTGTTGTAATTATTTTAATGACGTGACGTATCGGTAAAATGAAAATGTAATTATTTTTATACAAAATATTAAAATATTTTTCGCGAAGTTAATACGAGTCAAGGAAATACAGTAGACAAGATCGCCACAGGGACTGCATATTTGTGTGTCAATTGAATTTTTCTTTATTTTCTATTATAATACATTGAATTATCCTCACAAATAACAACACCATTTACAATGTTTTACATTAAATCTGTTCCGAATACGATGACCATTTTGTAAAGAAGACTTTCATAAAAATATTAATTAGCTTGTTTTACATAACGGACCATGCTATACGATTGCCTAAAATTAATTAAGAGGTCTCATTAACATAATCTGTTTTTTTACACGTCCCCGACCATCATCTCATAACAGCATCAAAAGACATCAACGCGCAAGTTTAGCTTATGCTACACTTGTCGAAAAAATATCGACTTATCGACATTTTTTATTCGATATATCGATACTTTACTTGAAGATACCCATTTTTAATCCTTAATACGTAAGTTAATATATTTCTAATAGCAACTTAAACGAAATTTGGTCGTGTTTTGAATGCACCTTAATTTTGTTACAAATGTAGGTTGATCGGTTATTTATTGAAATGATTTATAATACTAAACTTAACATGTTACATTTTAAGCAGAAATATTTATAATCATCCATTAACGAACATCGATATGATACATATCGACATTTTCGGCACTTCCGACATCTCTAGCTTATGTAACGAGTTGCGAGTCGTTACACAAACTTTAATATCAGCTTAAAATGTGTACCATGTTATGCTACACAGATCATGAATACGACAACGTAGTTGTTTTATTTTTTAACTTGTTATTTGGACCTCCATACTCGTAATTTGAATAGAAAAATGAGTAGAGTAGTGCATTAATAAAATATAATTTCTTTGTTCAATGAAGGTTTTCGCGATTGAAAAATCCGCCAGATGGCAATACGTAGGCGCGAGGTCCAAATGCTGCATGATTGGTTATTTTTGACATGACATTGACAGATATGTCAAAATCCACCAATCATGCAGCATTTGGACCTCGCGTCTACGTATTGCCATCTGGCGGATTTTTCAATCGCGAAAACCCTCATTGAAGAGTGTCTGATAGCATAGTGTACATTAAAAATGAACACGTAAACATAATCAAAAAAAATTTTACTAAAACAAAACTATTTTATAAAGTGTCTGCAACGAGAATGGCTACTTAGATTTATGAATAAGTAACAACTTTATGATACCTATCAGATCGACGTCATTTAATTAAATTAGTTTGATATGTTTGCCAGAAACATTTGTTTTATTTCATTATTAATTAAAATGTATTGCCTACGATGTCAAATTTATTATACTATCGTAACATTCTTCGGAAGCTCTCGTCGATATTGTTTAAAGAAGTTATAATACTCGGAAGTAGGGGTATATCCAATTACTAAAGAATCTTAATGTGTAGTATATTTAGACGTATTATGACCCAATTGCATTTTATTTTTGTAGCTGTCCAATGATATAACTGCTCGGTCTTCACTCTACATAATTTAAAGTATTATTACATCTTTGTCACTTTGTAGTCGATAGGACAAATTTTTATAAGACTGTATTTGCCCTTAGATTTTAGAGGAGACCACTTTCGTAAATCTAGACTTTATCTTAAACCTAAACTGCATCTCTTACATCAGGTGCGATTGCGGTCAAATAACTGCTTTGTTCTCCATAAAAAGTGCGTGGAAGTCAATGATTAATTGTTATTTCTATAAATTATCAGTATCGAGAGGGTTAATACCACAGATCACAAAAACTAAAGGGAGATGTGACAATGGGGCGGGGCCGGTGTCGCAGCAATATGCCCAAAAACAGAACACATTGCTGTGACAGCCGTGATGACAGCAGCGACGTCATTATGTAAACATTTTACATTGTTTGCGTAGTACTAAAGATTATTCGAACTTAAGTACTGATACCGCAGTGGATAATGAGCACATATTTTGATTACTTTGTGTGTGTGAATCACTGAGTTTCGAACTCAGTGCTATAGTTGGCATCTCTCTATAGATATCTCTATGGTTAATACTAGTTCTAGAAGTGGAACGTCCGTCCGCAGTCCCAATTATCTGTTACGGCTGTGCCATTATGCAGACCATTTGCAAAACACCTTGCATCGCTCTCTTGTTTGTATTGCATCATATGAGATACGTTATTCGTGAATTTTAGATATTATTATACTTCAACATAAATAAGAATGTTTTAAATATGGCACTTTGAGACGAAATGCAGCCGTGAAAACATGAATTTTTACAATCTATTTTTAGGTAAGATGCCAAATNTCCTTTAATTCAAAACAAAACTATCTTATAAAGTGTCTGCAACGAGAACGGCTACTTAGATTTATGAATAAGTAACAACTTTATGATACCTATCAGAGGTGGAATTGTGTAAAGCAATCGTAATCATTTGACAGTTCATAACGTACGATTAAGTCAGTTAAACAAAGCGTTTGACAGAATAATCGTACGTTATGAACTGTCAAATGATAACGATTGCTTTACACAATTCCAACTCAGATCGACGTCATTTAATTAATATGTTTGCCAGGAACATTTGTTTTATTTCATTATTAATTAAAATGTATTGCTTACGATGCCAAATTTATTATACTATCGTAAAATTCTTCGGAAGCTCTCGTCGTTATTGTTTAAATAAGTTTATAACACTCGGAAGTAGGAGTATCCAATTACTAAAGAATCTAAATGTGTAGTATATTTAGACGTATGACCGAATTACATTTTATTTTTAAATCTGTCAAATGATATAACTGCTCGGTCTACAACTTTATATCATTTAAACTATTATTACGTCTCTGTCACTTTGCAGTCGATAGAACAAATTGTTATAAGACTGTATTTGCCCTTAGATTTAATGAGGAGACAACTTTCGTAAATCCAATCCAGATAAGACCTAAACCTAAAATGCATCTAACTTATCATCAGGTGTGATTGCGGTTAAATACCTGCCTTGTTCTGCATAAAAAATAAGTACGTCTTAATTAACACATTTCGTGGGAGTCAATGTGTTAATTGTAATTTCTATAAATTAGCAGTATCGAGAGGGTTAATACCACAGATAACAGAAACTAAAGGGAGATGTGACAATGGGGCGGGGCCGGTGTCGCCGCAATATGCCCAAAAACAGAACACATTGCTCGTGACAGCAATGATGACAGCAGCGACGTCATTATGTAAACATTTTACATTGTTTGCGTAGTACTAAAGATTATTCGAACTTAAGTACTGATACCGCAGTGGATAATGAGCACATATTTTGATTACTTTGTGTGTGTGAATCACTGAGTTTCGAACTCAGTGCAATAGTTGGCATCTCTCTATAGATATCTCTATGGTTAATACTAGTAGTTCTTGAAGTGGAACGTCCGTCCGCAGTCCCAATTATCTGTTACGGCTGTGCCATTATGCAGACCATTTGCAAAACACCTTGCATCGCTCTCTCATTTGTATTGCATCACATGAAATACGTTATTCGTGAATTTTAGATATCATTACACTTCAACATAAATAAGAATGTTTTAAATATGGCACTTTGAGACGAAATGCAGCCGTGGAAATATGAATTTTTACGATCTACTTTTAGGTTAGATAATTTGTGTATCTGTCCAAATCAAATATCACTAATATCTTTAAATAGGACAGAATAACTATGATTAGATTAGAGTAAGTCTTGAAATTCTTCAGAAAAATCGTAAAAATACATACGCTTCTGGAAAATTATGAATTTTCAAGATTCTTATACGATGATTAGATTTATTTCCTAATAATATAAAATTATCATCATTTCAACTTATGACAGCGTTCACTACAGAATGATATAAAACTAAAATATGGAAAGTGAATAAAAGATTTGATGAGTCTACGACTTTATTGCAATTCTAGCAAATATTATTCCAGTTTTATTGCTGAAAGTGGACTAGCATTACAACACAAGGTTTTATTTCGTGTATTTAGTTGGTTATGAAATTATATCATTGGATTAGTTAGGAACAAGTTACTGAATTAACGAACTAATATAATGTAATTATATTAGAACGTGTCTGAACTATGAATATACATTCATTTGTAGCTAAAATTCCTTGTGGGGCATTATTTTAACAACACAATCCATACCAAGATATAGGAATTTGAATCCAGTTTTGAGCTTTGTTCCTTGTAAGTAGGTATCTTATTTTTAATGACCTTTACCTGGTGACTTCGTCTTTTGAATTTCTATAATTCGATGAACCTTAATATACATAGTACTCTTAAGTGGTCGCATGAGACCGTGGTAACAACTGAACTCTATTGTGTCTCGATTCACTGGTACTTGGAGAGGTACAGAAATATATTATAGTGCGCGTAAATCTTTCAAAAAATCGGGATAAAAAGTATGCTATGTTTTTCCCTGGGTCTCAAACTATCTCTACATATTAACCTATCTAAGGTTCAGTGGTTTAAGTTTGC